AACCCTAAAGTCAGCTCTGGGGGGAAGGGAGGGAGGGATCTAGGGCCCAGAGCCTGAATTCAGTGCGGGGGGGGAGGGAGGGAGGGATCAGGGGCCCGGAGCCTGAATTCAGCTCGGGGGGGATCTGGGGCCCGGAGCCCTAAATTCAGTTCTGGTGGTGTGTGTTGGTGGGATCTGGGGCCAGAGTCCTGAATTCAGCTCGGGGGGGGGAGGGAAGGAGGGATCTGGGGCCAAAGTCCTGAAGTCAGCTCGGGGGGCAGAGACCTGAATTTGGCTCCAGTGTGGGGGGGATCTGGGGCCCGGAGCCCGACACTGAGCTCCGGGGCTCCAGCGGCTGTTTGCTGAACTGGCAGTTCTTACGTGCTCCCCGGGGCAGCGCACAGACCCGAGAAGCCACATCCTGCTGCTTTCCCCTGCCTGGTCAGTACAGGATATCCCAGCTCTCGTACCTAGCTACCACCTGCTCACCCTGCACCCTCCACCTCCCAAACCCAGAGCCAGAGCGAACCAGGGAGCTCTGAGACCGCTTAGCATCGGGAGCCAAGCTGCAGCTGCTGGCTGGGGCACCGGTGGGAGGCTGGGGGTGGGGGGTGGGGGGCGTTCTGGGGACAGATGTGCCGGGGGCTGGGTGGTGAACTTGCTGACCTGCAGCCTGTGCAAGTCACTGCCAGAAGCGGGGTGGTCAGGAAGAATCACAAAGTACATTAAACCCTATAAACACAGGGATCGCCCACCCGATGCTGAGCTGCAGCCGTCTCTGGGGTGGGAGCAGGGGCTGTTTATTCAGAAATCCCTCACCTGGAGCTCAGATCCAACCAGCTCTGGGCTGGGGTGTGGGGCTCCCTCACCCAGAGCTGAGAACCAGCTGCCTCTGGGGTGGGGTGCAAGGGCTGTTTTTACAGGGCTCCTTTGCTCAGTGCAGAGATGCAGCTGCCTCTGGGCTGGGGCGCAGGGGCTGTTTAACAGCTACACGGTACAACATACTAGGTCAGGGAGTGAAGCAGAATCCCTTGTCGACTTTCAGTCCAGGTTTAATGGAACTGGCTGGCAGTGCAAAGCCAGGCAGGTGCCCCTGAAAATAGCCCTCAAGACAAACAACAGGATTGACATAGCACATGTGGATTTGTCCAGGAGATGAAGGGTTAATGAGGAGACCTTCACCCTGCCCTGCTCCCTGCAGCACAGCGCCCCCTAGTGCCATGCTGGGACACCCCCTTCTGAGTCCCTGCCCTGCTCCCCGCAGCACAGCGCCTCCTAGTGCCATGCTGGGACACCCCCTTCTGAGTCCCTCTCCTGCTCCCTGCCGCACAGCGCCCCCTAGTGCCATGCTGGGACACCCCCTCTGAGTCCCTCTCCTGCTCCCCGCCGCACAGCGCCCCCTAGTGCCATGCTGGGACACCCCCTTCTGAGTCCCTCTCCTGCTCCCCGCCGCACAGCGCCCCCTAGTGCCATGCTGGGACACCCCCTTCTGAGTCCCTGCCCTGCTCCCCGCCGCACAGCGCCCCCTAGTGCCATGCTGGGACACCCCCTTCTGAGTCCCTCTCCTGCTCCCCGCAGCACAGCGCCCCCTAGTGCCATGCTGGGACACCCCCTTCTGAGTCCCTCTCCTGCTCCCCGCCGCACAGCGCCCCCTAGTGCCATGCTGGGACACCCCCTTCTGAGTCCCTCTCCTGCTCCCCGCCGCACAGCGCCCCCTAGTGCCATGCTGGGACACCCCCTTCTGAGTCCCTGCTCCTGCTCCCCGCCGCACAGCGCCCCCTAGTGCCATGCTGGGACACCCCCTTCTGAGTCCCTCTCCTGCTCCCCGCCGCACAGCGCCCCCTAGTGCCATGCTGGGACACCCCCTTCTGAGTCCCTGCCCTGCTCCCCGCCGCACAGCGCCCCCAGCACCACTGGGGCATCTGATTTAACAAGACGAGTCCCCCCGCAATCTCCTCCCCAACAGCCTTTCCAGCAACACCTGCGGCGTCCCTTGAAGTGCCCCCCAGCCCACCCTGCAGCGCAGCGACGCCCATTGCCCCCAGCCGGGGATCTGGCCCATTGCCACCAGCCGGGGCTCTGGCCTGGCCCATTGATTCCATTGACACCAGGCTGGGATCTGGCCCATTGCCACCAGCCGGGGCTCTGGCCTGGCCCATTGATTCCATTGCCCCCAGCCAGGGATCTGGCCCATTGCCACCAGCCAGGGCTCTGGCCTGGCCCATTGGTTCCATTGACACCAGGCGGGGATCTGGCCCATTGCCCCCAGCCGGGGATCTGGCCCATTGCCACCAGCCGGGGCTCTGGCCTGGCCCATTGATTCCATTGCCCCCAGCCAGGGATCTGGCCCATTGCCACCAGCCAGGGCTCTGGCCTGGCCCATTGGTTCCATTGACACCAGGCGGGGATCTGGCCCATTGCCCCCAGCTGGGGATCTGGCCCATTGCCACCAGCCAGGGCTCTGGCCTGGCCCATTGGTTCCATTGACACCAGGCGGGGATCTGGCCCATTGCCCCCAGCCGGGGATCTGGCCCATCCCCCAGCCGGGGCTCTGGTCTGGCCCATTGATTCCATTGACACCAGGCGGGGAGCTGGCCCATTGCCCCCAGCCAGGGATCTGGCCCATTGCCACCAGCCAGGGCTCTGGCCTGGCCCATTGGTTCCATTGACACCAGGCGGGGATCTGGCCCATTGCCCCCAGCTGGGGACCTGGCCCATTGCCCCCAGCCAGGGCTCTGGCCCCAGAACCCTTTTGCAGTGAAGGGGGAAGGTGCAGGTGCGTGTGGAAGGAGAGACAAACGTCTCCAGCAGGCAGCCTGGCGCTTCCACCTTTCCTCGGCCCCCTCCCCAGCCCTCCCCAGCTCCCAACCCGTCTGTGTCACGCCAGCTTCACCCACAAGAGCTTTTTCCGCTCCGAGTTTATTTTTTTCTTTTGCTGAGTTGGCGATTTCGCCTGCCTGGGCGGCAACGTGAGAAAGACGCTGGTGGGGGGTGGGGAGATCAGAAAGCAGCAGAAGGGACCTAGGAGTCCTGACTCCTACCCTGCCCTCCGGGCTGGCTGGCATGTGTGAGTGCGGTTCTTAATTTGGGGGGGGGGGGGCGCTGGAAGGTGTCAGGGCTGTTTAGCTCAGTGGGGAATTTTCTGGTCTGGCTCTCAGCGAGCGGCTGTGACACGGGTGTGAGAGAGAGCTCAAGTCTGCCCCCTTCTGGACAGAGTCAGAAAGGCACCTATGTGCCATATGCCCTATATGGCCCACAGCGAGTTCCCTGTAGCTCAGCGGGTCAGGGCTGTTGGTACAGAGGGGTCTGACCGTGCAACGCTGCTGCTTTTGTGGCTGACAATGGGGCCTCCGGGCAGCAGCGACAAAATGGCTGGAGACCAACGGGGGTCACAGCGCTGAGGTAACACAGGGGGTGCATAGTGCCTGCACCCTACGGCGGATAACAGCCAACTCAAGCTGCTGGCTGAGGGAGCGACTCCTTTAGCTTAGGGGGTGGAGTGCAGCAGGCATAGAGCCATCAGGGATGCTCTGGCTAGCTGGCCCTGCTCCCCTGCCCCCCAGTAAATATTGTGCAATTCAATGTAGAGATGGGGGACCATGGGCTGGCGTGGTGCGAGGGGAAGGGGTTGAGGGCAGGAATCGTTTTTCCATCCAAGGAGCCAGCTGGTTTTATTGTGGCCAATCTTGGAGCGACGTTCAGCGCTCAGGCTGTGAGGATGGGGGCAGACAGCGAGTCAGGGCCCCAGCTGGGGGAAACTGGTGTCAATGGGGCCAGGTCCCCAGCTGGTGGAAATCAGCTGTCTCTCTATCAGGGTCCATGCGGCAGGGCCCAGGCGGGGTTCTGGACAGAGAGCTGTGAGCTGCAGGGGTGTGACACAGAGTTACCCCGACCGTGGACCTGGCCCATGGACCGGAAGCGCTGGCCTGGCAATGGGCCACAGCTGCTGCTCCCAGCCTGGGCTGTCCTGGGGTCAGCTCTTCGCCGCGGCACCTAGGGATCACTTCTGGCTGTTTACAGAGGGATGAGTTCTCAGCTCACTGAGATGCAGCCGCCTCTGGGGTGGGGCGTGGGGGCTGTTTATACAGGGATCCCTCGCCCAGCACTGAGATGCAGCCACCTCTGGGGCGGGGTGCAGGGGCTCCTGAACAGCCATGCAGCAACAACACAGAGCAGTGTGGAAATAAAACAAATAACAGCTCCAGCTGGAGACCACACGGGGGGGGGGGAGCTGAGATAGGTCCCAACCCAGCTGAGCTACAGGAGAGCTCCCTCAGCAGCTTGCAGCATTAGGTCTCTTAACCGCACAGTGGTCCTGGTCACTAGTGGGCAACATAATGGATCACACACAGCCAGAGCCCTGCTGTGTCTCTCCAGACAGGGGGCAGATGAGAATTGAGATCAGGGCCCCATTGTGCTGGGTGCTACGCAGACCCCGACTGAGATCAGGGCCCCCGTTGTGCCATGCAGACCCACAGCGAGAGTCAATCCCTGCCCAAAGAGCTCCCCATCGAACCAGGGAAGATAACGGTTTGAAGGAGTCACCCCCGCAGTTTGGTGCCAAGTTAGCACGGTGATAATCTCTGTCCCAAAGGCAGCCGTGCAGCAGCCAAGTCGAGCAGGGGGCTGAGCCCCACAGTCCCATGCTGGGCCGTGCTCTGCTCTGCTCTGGGGAGGTTGCTCAAGTCCCGCTACCCGCTGGTTGGGGTGGGGGGCAAGGACACACTGGATGGAGGGGAAGCTGGGGGGTGGGAGTGTCACGGAGTCCCTGGGCGATGCTCTGGAACTGCTCCCCATGAAGCCAGTCAGGACTCTGGGGCAGTCGCCTTTCTGTGAGCAGCCTGTCTTCAGGACACACAGCTCACACAGCTTCCACCTTCCTGGGTCTGACCTCGGAGCATTCAGCATCCTCTGCCCCTCCGTGTGCTTCCCACAGCGAGTCCGCTCAGGCGGGGCTCCTGGGGAAGCCAGAGGGTCCTGCACCCCAACTTCGCAGTCAGACGTGACTCTCAGCCAGCCAGTAACACAGAAGGTTTATTAGACGACAGGAACATGGTCTAAAACAGAGCTTGCAGGTGCAGAGAACGGGACCCCTCAGCTGGGTCCATTTTGGGGGGCAGTGAGCCAGACAACCACGTCTGCACTTCACTCCATGTCCCAGCCAGCCCCAAACTGAAAAACCCCTCCAGCCCCTCCTCCTCTGGGCTTTGTTCCTTTCCCGGGCCAGGAGGTCACCTGATTCCTTTGTTCTCCAACCCTTCAGCTCTCACCTTGCAGGGGGGGAAGGGCCCAGGCCATCAGTTGCCAGGAAACAGGGTGTCGGCCATTCTCTGTGTCCAGACTCCTGCACACACCTGCCCTCTAGGGCACTGCAATGATCATACACCCTTACTCCACCCCCTAGATACTTAAGAACTGCATAGGGGAAACTGAGGCACCCCCACACTATTCAGAGGAAACATTAAGAACAGTCCCACTTCGTCACAGGGAGGTCTAGTGGTTAGAGTGGGGATAGACCCCCCGAAGGACAGAACGATGCAGCACATACGGACCTGCCACCCTCTCCTCGTTCATCCTGCCAGGCCAGTTCCCCACCCTGGACCCCCGCGGGTGCCTCAGGGGCGGGGGAGACGGGAGCAGCATGGGGGGCTGCTAGCCTGGCCAGGCCCAGGGCTGGGGTTGTATCTGATCCCTCCCTCCCTTCCTGGCTCACCCTGGCAGGGCTGGCCCTGCTCGCCAGGGTTTGCTGCCATCTCCCGGCTGGCAGAGGAAAGGCGGGATGGAGACCCCCAAGGCCTTTCACACACAGCCCTCCCCCCGAGCAGTCTCTACACCCCCCATCCTCCAATTCCTCCAATTCCCTGGGAGTCTCCCAGTTCCAAGCCAGGCCTGATTCTGGTGCAAGGAAGCTGCTGTCTGCAGGGGGCTGGCACAGTCTCATCTCCCCCTCCCCGGAGCTGGGGATAGAACCCAGGAGTCCTGACTCCCAGCCTCCCCCCGCCCCCGGCCCCAGTCGAATCACTGTTATCAAATGCAGCCTGGCTCAGGGGCAGGAATAGGACACCGGGCCCTGCCACTCTCGGGGGCGCTGGCTCTGATACAGCCCCAGGGCAGGGAATGGGGCCTGGGCCTGGTATGAAAGGAGTTTGGGGGCATCTCAGCTTCAGCGTGTGTGGAGGTGGCAACTGCCTTTCAACAGCCCCCATGGTCTGCGTAGTGGGGGCACCGGAGCTGCCAGGGCCACAGAGATGGGGCTCCCGGAACGCGGGGGTGGTGCCAGGCTGCCAGCTCCCAATGGGCCTCTGGAAACAAGAACCAGGCTGAGGCCATGCCCCCTTGGGGCCACGTTCCTTCACATCCCCAGTGATGGGGCCTCCCTGTGGCCAGAGCCACCCTCCCACCCCCCCGCAGCTGTCTGTCTGTCTGTCTGTCTGTCTGTCTGGGTGAGATTGAGGGGTGGGCGTGCACAGCACCCCCTGGTGGTGGAAATACGCAGGCCTCCCCGGTGGTGACCATAAAGGCGGATTCTGTCTCGGAGCTGATGGACCCTAACCCAGCCCAGCTGTTCTCTGGCTCAGCAGCTTCCTGGGGCCACCACTAGGGGGCTCCCTAGCTGCTGGGCTGACACAGAAGGGGCTAATGAACAGAGGATGGGGTGGGGGAGGAATAGCCCTTAACAGCTGACCACGCACCCCCGTGCCCCCTGGCATCATCCCACCCGCTCGAACATCCCCTCCCCAGCCCCTGGCAGAACCCCCCACTGCCTGGCACCTTCCCTGGCACCATCCCTGCCCCCAGGCATCCATTGTCCCGCCCGCAGCGCCATTTCACCCACCCCGGCCGCCGCGCCCGCCGGAACAAAACCACCCAGCTCTCGGCCCCTTGGTTCCAAGAACTCTTGTTTCCTTTATTGTTTGAATTTCTCGTTTGTAACTCAACGATAGTTGCCATGTTTTTTGTATTTTTTTTTTGTTCTTTTTTTTTTTTTAAATGATCTGCATCGTCATTATTGTTATAATTCTTTTTGTCTTTTGCTCTGTTTAATGCACTCGACCCAAAATTGGTTTGGCATATTGAATAGAAGAAGGAAGGAGCAACGGAATTCCAAGTGAGAGACAGAGAGAGCAGGAGAGAAACAGAGAAAAGAAGGAACGAGAAAGCGCAGACAGGGGAGGGGACGGATCGGAACCACCGACGCGCAGCGAGGTTAGTACAGGCCCCAGCGCATGAAGGAAACTGCATTCCCCAGAAGGAAATCGTTGCCCCTAGTGTGCGGCCCTGAGGCTCTCACTGGCCCATGGTTTGGGGTGACGCGGCGGGCGGGGGGCGAGGTCACGTCTAAAGGCACAGGGACTCTTCTGGCTTTTTCAGCCAGCCAGGATGCACTGCGGCTCCAGGCGGGTTGGCGATGGGAACCAGGGCTGATGAGGGACTAGGCCGGGTTCTGTTGCCAGCTTTGCCCTACTGGGTGACCTTGGGCAAGTCGCCACCCCGCTCTGTGCCTCAGTTTCCCTTCCCCAACTCTTGGCTATCTAGAGAGTCAGGTCTTTGAGGTGTGTGTGTGTGTGTGGGGGTCTTGTAGGTCTGTGCAACGCCCGGCACAACAGGGGCCCCGATCTCAGTTGGGTTGCCGCAGATCTGATGCTCTTGGTATTTGGTATTTGAGTTTCTTTAGTCACCACCATGTGGTGCTGAGAGGACCAAAAAATCTGGACAGGTTCCTCCCCGGCTGTGGCCGCCATGGAAGGCCAGTCCCAAGACCCAGCAGGCAAGAGGGTAGCGCTATTCTTCAGGCACCCACTGGGCAGCCCTGGTAACACGTGGCGGCATTGGGCCAACGAGGGGTGCGATGGGAAACGGGGGAGCTCAACCCACAGGGCCTGGTAGAGGAAGCACTGGCTAATGAGGACAACAACCTTCTACTAGCTCCCACCTGGGAGAGCTGCACCCTCAGCTCAAGGAGTGGGGGAGGGTTGGGTGCCTGAAGGGCCCCAGGTGGGTCCCCATGGGTGGCTGGCCATGTGGTGTGACTAAGGGGTCCCCCCACCCTTTTGCCATCTTCTGGCGAGGGAAGGGCTCAGAGACACCTTGTCCATGGGCAATGGGCAGCAGAGGGGCAGCAGCATCTCCCCCATCCCTGCTGCAATGCGGCGGTGCCTGCATCACTGCCCCCTACTGGCTGGGTGCAGAATTTGCACAGCTAGCTTTGGGCTCAGCAGGTCATGGGTTCTAATCCCCCTTATGGCTCATGGGGCTGTGACTTTTGTGAGGCTGCAGCTGCTCCATCCCAACTTGGCCCATGACCCCAAGGGAAATGGAGTCACCAAATAAGCACATCTTCCTAGCCATTAGCTAGCAGCTAGCCAATGACAAGGGAGATCTCTCATGGGACGGGGGGAGGCACAGGCTTCTCCTTGGTGGGTGAAGCTGGAGTTGGAAGCTGATTGGAGAGCTTGACGTGGACTGACCGGGGTGGGGATCATGGAGGGCCGGGGGTGGGGAAGGGCTCATTCAGTGGTGCGAATGGCCTCAGGATTCTGTGGCTCTCTAGCTTCAGTTGAAGCTGAGGGCTGGGAAGGGGTTTGGGGCATGGGTCAGAGGCGGGTAGCCAGGATGGGTTGGGGATCGAGGGAAGGGCCCCTTCTCCAACTTTAAAGTCGCTGGGGCTGGGAGTTTGCCAGTTACACTAGTCCCAAAGAGATGGCAGGGTGGGAGGAAGGCTGAGCCGGGAGAGCAGGGCTCCCCATGTCTGGGGGCCAGTTTACCAGCAAGGGAGGGGGAGCAAAAGGCCATGGGAGCCCCCCGAACTGGGGCGAGAGATTGCCCCGACAGCGAGTGTCTACCAGCAGCTTCCACCCATGAAATAAGAGGTTGGCGGGCGTGGGGGCCAATGGGGGAGATGGGAGGAGGGGCTTAAAGAGAGGTCACCCCCACAAATCAACCCCCCCGATACATTGTATCCCCACCCCCGATCCCACTCTCAGAAGGGCTAATCCCCCACACAGATAAATGAAAAGAGCCATATACAAAGAGAGCGAGCAACATTCAATACATCGGAGCACAGGCAGGGCCGCCCTGAAACCCCAGTGACAGGCACCCCCTTTCCATCCTTCAGATCAGAGCTGGCTCGTCAGTCAGTGGGGTGGGGGTGGAGGGGTGCTGATGAGTCCAAGCCCAGATCACGCTGCCTCACCCTGGGATTAGACCCAGAGACCTTCACCCCGGAGCCCACCCCCGCAAACTCCAGGAGCAGGTACATGCTACTGAGGATCAGCAAGAGGCTGTTAGAGCTGCTGCCAGCCAGCAGGGGGCGATGAGGTCAAACGCACTGAGCCAGGGAATGGCATTGAAAGGAGGGTCCCTAAGGCCCCCGCCCAGAGATGGGGAGCTGGGGCCAACCCCCAAGAGCCGCCAAGTGACAAGGATCCCCCCGAGGCGTCAGCAAAACGTAAAGAAAATGGGGGGCGGTGTGGCACTGGTGCCAGATGAGCTCAAGAGCCTGGATAGGAAACCATGTTAGAGCCACCCGAGTAGAAAACACGACTGCACCCCCCTCTTGTACCCCAGGAACCGCCCCCCCAACTGAAACATGACTGCATCCCCCTGTTGTACCCCAGGAACCTCCCCCCCCAGACATGACTGCACCCCCCTGCGATACCCCAGGAACTGCCCCCCCGAGACACGACTGCACCCCACCTGTTGAACCCCAGGAAATGCCCCCCCGAGACATGACTGCACCCCCCTGAGATACCCCAGGAACCGCCCCGCCGACGAGACACAACTGCATTCCCCTGAGATACCCTAGCCCCTGGGAACTCCCCCCCTCCCCGTGCACCAAGAGACAACTGCATTCCCTTGCTATGCCCCATCCACCGGGAACCCTCCACACCCAGACACAACTGCACCCCCCTGCGATACCCCAGGCCCAGGAACCCCCCTGCACAGAGACACGACTGCATCCCCCTGCAATACCCCAGCCCTGGGAACACTCCCCACCCAGTGACTATGGCCCTGGGGTCTCCTTGGCCAGCGTACGTTAGGAGTCCATCACTGCACTATCTGGGCTCCTGCCTCACAGAGGAAAACCACCAACAGCTTTCCGCTTACTCTGCTGGGGCTGGAAGGAGGGCTGCTGCCACGCGTGGCACAAGGCGTGGCTACGAGTGCCAGTGGGCACATGGCACTCCCACACGGTAGCAGTGGGCACTGGGGGTAAAGGCAATGAAGAAACGGGATTACGTGCTAATCCAGCTGCAGCTAATGGGGCTCAGGCCAATGGGACCCAGCCCAGCTGGGCTGCTGAGGGTCTCCAGGTTGGGCCATGCCACGCGTTACCCATCCTAGCTATAACCTG